CCATGAATTGCATCTTAGTTTCGAGGACTTTTTGGTCCGATTGTGTGGTGAGACTGTCAACATTAATGGGGTTTACTTCTAAGAAAGAGGCTTCTAGCAAGTCGATCGTGACCGTTTCTTTATTATTATTATTATTATTATTATTCACAAACATCTTATGGGTAAAGAAGTGTTGGGAAGAAACCATTTCGAGATTCTTCAAAAATGCAATAATACACAAGTTTCAATAATGTCAGCATTATATTTGCCATATTTAAAAAAAGGAAAAAATATAATAATGACAAAAGAATAATAATAACAAGTCAGGTTCTGTATAACTGATAAGAATATTGAGTGGACTTTAAAGAAGGAAATGGAGAAAATGAGGGAATGGAAATAAGGGAGACGTGAAATACGCAAATAGTTTAACAGGTGTGTTTGTGAACACGGAACAAGGAAAAAGCGACTATGTACGTATCGTCAAATTACTAACAAAATAAATAAGGAAGATAACTTAGTTTCGTGATTAAGGACTTAGTAGGGTCCTTAGTATTCAGCTTCTGGGGGTCAACATTTTTAGTCGCGACCTACGAAAACGTGAGTATTAAGTCGTTAAACAGGGAGAACAAACACACTAGCTGATTGCGGTCGAGCGCACGTAGGTCTGACTGAACCCACCGCGTTTGTGAGTCTGCTCGTGCGGGAATTAAGATTTACATGCACTGCAGAAGATAAAGGATTTGTAGCAGCATTGAGCCCCAATCACACGGCCCTTGAAGTAGAGCACACAACTACCGGGAAGTCTTACATTTCACGTTTGACACTTGGAAAATGTCAAAATAGATGAGTGCGTGAACAAAATCGAGACGGCATGGCTCCACCATACAAGCATTACGATTTTATACCATCCCTCCCCTTTCGTAATGAACATATTTTAACTCTAGCCCAAATATGTTCCTTAAATGTTCGTAAAAGCTATACTGACTATCACGAAAAGATGGTTGGGTACAGATGAAGAGGTGCTCCCTACGTAAAGTTTTTTAAGTTAGATAGGCATATCATAGCAAATTCAGTGCTAGGTTAGGTCTATTAGTCTAGTAGCACAGATAGGTGCAATAATATCAACGCATACGTACATTCTACAAGCATATGAGAACACCGAGCACCGTTTTTCATCAGTAACGTCCCTGATAAATACCGCTCCTAGCCATTGTGTGAAACATTCCACACGTGTCTGGAGATAAGATTATCCATTTGACCATGGTCAGGGTTCCACCTAGCCTTGATGAAGACGGTCGAAACGAACATCAAGAGTTGCAAAACAGCCTAGGGGACGTTTGTTGTGTCCAGTCACCTTAGATTTCTGCCAGCTTACACAGGAGCATACCCACTTTCCCACGTTTTTAATTACACCCGGTCAGTGAAAAGGGCGGCCTGCTTGAGCATCTGGGCTACCTGTTCCTGCCATCTAGATATTTCAACAAGTTATCTATTGTTGTTTGTTTTAATATATCATTATGTTTATTAATCGCATAACCTATTCTGCTGCGTTTCTGAAAAGTGTACAACCTTTCGTTGTCAAAGTTACAAAAAACTCAATAAGAGAAAATATGGTTGCTGGCAATGTACAACAAAAAGAATGTACATTATTCAGTTGTTCATTCACTGAAGTGCTAACATCTAACTGGCGATTCCTCAATATTTATCGCCAGGACCGACCAAGAAGAAAGAAACGGAAACTTGTTGAAATACTTTGCGCTGAGAATTCTATATTGTACCAAAATTATAATATTGAATAAAGCTAATAATAATAATAATAATAAGAATAAGAATAATAATAATAATAAGAAGAAGAAGAAGAAGAAGAAGAAATCGACCTGTCATGAGCCGGATGGCTGCCCCGACACCTAAGTGAGAAAATTTGTAAAGCGTATTGAAGACACTGAGTCAATAGTGTTTCGGCACGATTGGACAATCCTTACCTGTTGACATGTCACACATTCAAGTTTCCTTACCTGTTACTATCTGTCTACTTTGTAGTCTCAGAGTTATTAAAGATAACCCGTTCTGAATATCAGTGTCTTCTTGAAGCTGAGCGAGTTCAAGAACGTCGATTCGTTAGAAATTGTTCAAGGAAATTATAAGAGACAAGACGTCCGCCACTACATCAACGATCAGGGATGGTTTTCGCATTCAGTCACCGATAGTCACCAGTTGGACGCCAATCATTGCTGTCCTTTTAGGGACTGTTTGATGGTCGGATATTTCATAAGACTATCATGTGGTCTGTTACGTCCGTGATCTGTCTACCCACTTTTGATGCTGAGGATAACTAGTCTGATCTAGATTAAGACCTTGACGCGATGGACTGAGCGGCTTAACCTCGAGGCTAGTGCGCGTGAGTTCAAAGTGGGGTAGAGAGAAGAAAACTATCATATCACCTGATTGGCTGACAAGCACGCGTGCGAGAGAAGACATGTCAACTGGAACACTACTCGATTTATTCTCAATTCCGATCAGGCTCCCGATTTGCCGATTTCAGACCAGTGTAAAAAGATACATGATTAAATAGATGACTAACCTGACCACAACGTACAATAGTTAGGAAAATACAACTATGTCCAGGACTGAGAATTAGCGTAGAGAATAGTGTACAAAATAATAAGTCCAAATTACAATAGCTTTGGAACAAAAAGGGCTATGGCAGTGAATCATACATCAAACGAAAGCTTATGTTCTGCAGAATAGACTAGGGACAAAATTAGGTGTTAGTGTTTTACAAGCTTTGAACTAACTGAAATAACGTCCTGAAAAATAGCTTCCGTATTTTGTCAAGGCTTCGTGTTTCTCTGTTCACACCACGGTCGAATTCGTTTTTTGCCAAGCTCAGCTTTTCGGGAACTAATTGGTGAGCTTTCGAGAATACTGGCAGTCTTGTATTTGTGATGTGAAACATTTCTGGTTACACATGGGAATTTCGGTTGCGTTTGCTATATCTCGTCGTTTGTACCGTGTATTTTTAATAGTGTGGATCGGTTATACGCCTTTCTGTGACGAGGGACAGTCTTCAACAGGAAATGAAGTTACGCAAATAAATGAATTAGTGTTTCCGTTTACTAACCTCTGTTTCTGAGTATCAATGAGTAGATTATGATGGATGTGAGGACTATGAGTGGGAGTAGTTCAGAGATATGTGATTTCGTTCTTCAGTCGCTTGACGTTATTATTTGACAGAGTAAACCTGATGTTGGGGGTACTGGTGATCTACACACTCCAACCGATAGATGCAGCCAGTTTTTCTCGGAGCAAACGAGAACCACTTTGACATTTCGGAGAAGCTTGGACAGAAATTGTTGTTTAAAGGGGCCCTCGTCAAGAGTTTGTTCACCAATAACCCTCACATACGTATCAACACATCTGTTGCTGAGCCATATTGCCATTCGATGTTGTGGAATAAACGGTCTTGCCTTTGTCGATCAGTTAGGTCTCCAGGCTCAGAGGTAACCTTTGTTGATGTATAACAAGCTTCGGAAACATAACTAGTAAGCATACTAAGTGTAACGTACTTGTCTCAAGTCACGTGACAATGCCATCGCCGCTGCGAGGAACTTGCCGGGTAGATCCTTCAAGCTGTGTCCGTGGAAGTCAGCCTCTGCGTTGCAGGACAAAGATTAAATATTATCAGGCCACATTGGAATGAGTTGGAAAGTGGTTGGCACGAAAATCTTAGTCTTGAACGGTTTTACTGTGTTCATACAGCAAATATGATATAATTATATGTATATGTAAACACCCCAAAGATATGAGGACACCAAATTGATAGTTTTACATGTTAAACAAATATATGTATTTGATATTACAACAAGGAACAGACTCAATTCATCACTTGGTTTACCAAATAAAGCTGGACACACTTAAAAAGATGTCGCGATTATTAATGACTTGATAACTCTGGTGACTGTGACGCTTTTGTAATCAAAAGATACAAACATGGCCAAATCAGAGGTCAGGAATGTACGAATTCGAGGTACATTCAGAAGTTAGTCGGTGTGTTGGACAGCATTTGAGCCAAGCTGACCAGTCATCTCATGAGACATGTAGAACAGAGTACTCAGTGGTGATTCGGTGAGGACGCTTGACCGAGTGCCTTCAGCCAAGGTGTGCATGATGGAACTAATGGGGTCAGCATCAGTGTCGAACGCCTACGGAACTGTTTATTTTGGGATATTCTTTTTAATGTTGCGGTCGTGCGTACATGATTGTCAACCAGATTAATCCTGAATAAGGTAATTAACAGACTCCTGAGAATAGTTCTGAAACGTCTGCCTGATCGTTTGGGTCTCTAGGCTCTTACAGATCACCGATGTAAGTGATCTACGTGAATGATCGCGATGTACTCAAGTCTGACGGGAATCGGTGTGATCCAGCTTGTCAATGTCACATCTCGCGGTTAATACTCAGTGTAGATAATCCTGTTGTGCGACACACGTTGGCATATAGTACAGGTATTTGGTCATTGTATAATACATGTAGGAATAGGTCTCCAACACAGTGCGATAACTCGCATGAAGTATCCCATAGCGTAAGACCCACGTTAGTTATCATAGAATACGACCATGTTCCACAAACTAACTATAAATTATTGATCAGTTGTCTAAATTTGACATGATTTAGCCCAAGCGATGAATTGTCTAGGACTCATTGATGTTACCCTGACCCTACACTATACCATTAAGCTAGATTAAATCAAATCTAAATCTCTTATCATATATGCAGCTTGATTATGATCTTGAGATCTCTTAATAGTGATTCCGGATCTTACTTGACTTCATTTTTATTGTCTTTCGTAGCGACGTTAATATGAGAACACAAAAATAGTTCGTGGAATTGGAACAATATATTTCCAAGCTGACTCCAGAATTATACCTAGAGTTGTGAACGAGAAAAACTGTTTCTTACCCAGGAGTACCTTATTTTTATGTAAGTGCATATAAAATAAGGTCCAATCATTTCGCTGATCACCACTATCAATGCTATTACAGGTTTCTCAGTCACTCACTTTTCCACCACGTAACATATTCAAGTTTGAGAGTGTTATATGGAAACATGATAACATACTGATTTAATAATAAATCTCTACGTGTATTTTTTTGTTCTGTAAAAGCTCTTGTTTAAGTATTACTGATATCTGTAAAATTATAATATGACGGTTGGAACCGTATATTAAAGTTTGTTTTAGTCACTTGCTTTAAAATAACCACGCTTTATAGTTCTCACTTCGTCTTCCTAAACTCGTGGCGATGGCTTCAACAAACGGCAGTACGGAGATATCTCAGGCTGATAAGAATGTAGAAATGTGGCGGATCAAAAAGTTGATCAAAAGTTTGGAGTCTGCTAGAGGGTAAGTGATTTATGACCAGTCATTTCACATATCAGTAATGGGACGAGTATGATTTCGCTCATCATTCCTCCAAAGGATCAGATTACTAGGATAGCGAAATTGTTAGCCGAGGAGTATGGGACAGCATCTAATATTAAAAGCCGTGTGAATCGCTTATCCGTCCTGAGTGCGATAACCTCTGTACAACAACGTCTGAAGTTATACACTAGAGGTTGGGATCAGTAATTTTTCATTTTTGTAGTTCCTACCAATGGCCTTGTTGTATATTGTGGGACAATAGTCACTGAGGATGGTAAAGAGAAAAAGGTCAACATCGATTTCGAGCCATTTAGACCAGTAAACACGTCTTTATATCTTTGCGACAACAAGTTCCATACAGAGGTTTGCTGATTTTCACCACTCTAACGTAACTTAGGCCTTAGTAGCGCTGCTAGCAGATGACAGCAAGTTCGGATTTATTGTCGTTGATGGTAATGGGGCTTTATTTGGGACATTATCGGGAAACACTCGCGAGGTTCTGCACAAATTTACGGTAGAATTGCCGAAAAAACATGGTCGCGGAGGTCAATCTGCACTTCGTTTCGCACGTTTGCGGATGGAAAAGCGGCACAACTATGTTCGCAAAGTAGCCGAGACAGCAACGCAACTTTTTATAACAAACGATCGACCGAATATCGAAGGTCTCATCCTTGCGGGGATTGCTGACTTCAAGAGTGACTTAGGACAATCTGATATGTTTGATCAAGTTAGTGGACTGGTGAATAATAACATTTTTTCAGAGGCTTCAAGCAAAGTTGATTAAAATAGTAGATATATCATATGGTGGTGAAACAGGATTTAACCAAGCTATCGAACTGGCCACAGATACACTTTCTGGCGTAAAGTTCATTCAGGAAAAAAAACTGATTCAAAGATACTTTGACGAGATATCTCAAGTGAGCCTTAGTATATTTGTTTTACCTCTTACAAAGGATAGTGGAAAGTACTGTTTTGGCGTTGAGGACACCTTGAAGTCCCTAGAGATGGGTGCTGTGGAGACCCTCGTGGTGTGGGAGAACCTTAGTGTAAACCGCTACGTCCTCAAAGTCCCGAATTCTGAAGGTTAGTATAGTAAAGGTAATAGGGAGTTGTTACTTCACTATTTCTACTACGATGTCAGGCGCAATTGTAAGTGATAAAGTGCACTTACAATCGCAGTGACACAAAATAACGTGACCAATCACACTGATCTCTTTCTTGAGAGAATTGAGATGAGTGTGATTTTGAGTCAGTGATTGACAAATCCCAAGTCTTAGATTTGTTAGACCGAGACTCACATATGTTAAGGTTTTTGTCACTGCATTATCCTGCTTGCTTGAATTTGCTTGCAGGCAGTACACGTGACGTACATCAAATTGATGACAAGGAACAATCTTGATGCGTTGCCCTGAATTGAGCAATTGCGTAAAGGCATGGTCCTACATTATGTTTAAAGCGGTTTCACACAAAAGTTTCTTTCTTTCAGGAAACAGAGTTATACACTTGCGTCCTGACCAGGAAACGGACCGACGACATTTCATTGACCCGGCGACAGGATCTGATTTGGAAATTCTAGATACTCAGCTTCTTCTAGACTGGCTCGCCCTAAACTACAGATCTTTTGGGACGACTTTAGAAATTGTCACTGACAAGTCTCAAGAAGGTGCTCAGTTTGTTCGCGGCTTTGGTGGGATAGGTGGTAAGTCTTTGTTAAATTCAACCGTTACACATCCTATAAACGTTTCGGTCAATTATGTATAAGGTTCTCAAATAGATCTGTATATTGCTTACTGGGAATGTCAAGGCAACTTTCGTCATACGCAAACTGGTTAATGGACTCGGCACCTTAATATGTGTTATCATATCAAGTTTTCTGCCCTCCATAAATCGCTATCCTAGTAGGCATGTACTGCGTATTTTTCGTTGGTAAATGCCCTGAGTGAGACGGCAGTTTGAGAGGTATTGAGGTGTCGAAGCCGCAGTCTCTTGGTTTCTGTACTGTTCACTAAAGAACGTAGTTTCCAGTCGTTAAATTATGTTCAATGGACTACTGGGATAACTTGCACTAAGAAAGGGAATGATGAATACTAAACACCATTGAAATTGAAAAGTTAAGAATGGATGATATAGCTGTAGCATATAGATCTTCACGCCGAGCCAATAACCTTCGGGATCAAGTACTCGAAGAACTGGTATCTACACATTCAATTGATACATACAACACTAGGCACTGCGGCTTACCAAAAATGACTAATATAGATCCATCAGACTTCTGCTCTCAGTACATCTGAGTTGTCGTATCAGTATACACCTGTCTTTGATTGACCTGCTTCTGAGCTAACCTAGACTTCTGATGTATCAATTTCGTTGATTGAAACATCTTTGTCTAGCGCGCTTTGGTATTACGCATCTGTGGAGGTAATCGACAGGCAGTAGCAAATTATCTATTTTCAGGGGTATAACAATTGGATGCATTTATCTTAGTTGAGGTGCATACCCTGCAAAGTATAAATAAACTTCACTGATGAAATAATATGCACAAGGAGAATGTAGAAGGGTCCTGAGTTTTTCTCATGTTTAGTAAGTTTTTACATACTTAAAAGTTATTGGTTTGCTTCTGTAGGTATTCTACGCTACCAACTCGATTTTAATCATTTGGCGGGTGGAGATGTTGATTTTGAGGATGACTTCAATCTTGATGATTACTGACAAACCAGTCCAACCTGCGGTTGGCGCAGGTTTCCGTACGGCCGTTCTCCATGGTTTGAACACAGGTTTCTAAGGATTATTCCCAAGGATGATTTTTGCAGAATTGAAAAACAGGCTTTTGAAGAGTTCAATTTAATTTCGGTTGTGATACTAAATAATTTTCTTAGTTGTTGAATGTAGTTTTTAATGTCCTTGTGCTTAGTTTCAATATGGGAGTCGACTTTCAATTCTGCGAGATGGCTGTAAGCACTGGTTAGAATCTTTCGACTTCACATGAGCACCTAAAAATGTTAGTTAAGTAATATAAAACCGACAAAATTCACCACTTCACTGCTTCAAATAACATATCTACTTCATATGGAACTGCTCCTTATACTACCTCGAAATTTACGCCCCCTAAGTTAGCCTTATGATACATTGTCGTGTTTGATGGAACTAGTTTTCTTAAACTTATTTGTGCGTTTGCACTGCTGGCTTTTATATCAATACTACCAAGCGATGTATCGTTCTATTAAGCTTTGCCTGAATTCAAGTAGTTTTCTCTGGACACTGACTGCGAGAGTACGTTTTGAACTTCTGTCGCAATCAAATTAATCCGAGCTCATGACGAACTATCATCTGCTTTCGCAACATCAAGTTGTGTCCGACAAGGTTGTCCACTATCTCCGTTTCTGTTCGTTTTCATCATAGACATACTGCTGAAAATAACGTTCTCGTCGACTGGATTTCGGGCATTGATCGCCATCCAGGAGGTTCAGTTATCGATTTGGAATACGCAGGTGATATAGTCTTGTTTGGTGAAGGCGATGGTAAAGTGCAGTCTTTCGGTAGCACTGAGCAACAATGCGAGGATGTTTGGGATGCGTTTCTCCCCCTCATAATGCAAGTTGTCACTTCGTGACTGGTCTGCGTCAGCACCTGAACTAAGGATAGGGAGTGGAGTAGTCGGGTGCGTTGACAACTTCACTTATCTTGGAAGTCTGATCAACCGTAATGGGTTGGTGTCTGGCGAAATCTCAGCACAGATTCAGAAAGCTTGCTTGGCTTTTACCAACTTACGTGACTTATGGCGAAGGTGAGATATCCGTCTACCAACTAGAGGACGAGTATACTGCGCAACAGTCCGTTCAGTTCTACTTTATGGCTGCGGAACGTGACCATTAAGAGTGGGAGATATTCGTAAGCTACTAGTATTTGACCACAGATGCCTTCGAAGTATTGCTCGCGTCTGCTGGGATCACCCGGTAAGTTATAGTGAAGTTAGACGCAAGGTATTAGGGAATGGTGGTAAGTCAGTTGATAAAGTTGTGGATCTTCATCGACTGAGATGAGTCACGTGTTGTGTATATCTGAACACCGATTATCATGACGTGCAATGTCGACTAGTGTCGGGGATGGTTGGAAGAAAGGGGCGGCCAAACGAAAACGTAGCATTAGCTCTTGAAGTCGCCAATTTCTGGTCTGAGTCATGTTGGTAGATACAGACTACTTGGTTGGGGTCCACGTGACTATCGTAACCAATGGTTGGAGACTGTCGGTGACATGGCTTAGAATTGACCACAATGGCGGTGTACACACTCTGTCTTCCCTTAAACTATGAGATTAAAATTGTTTAATATGTTTATTTCTACGAACTAATTCATTCTTCCTGTACTATGTCCTTATATGCAATTTTTCTTTTATATATTATCACTGTTGAATTGACTACTTCTATGAATCCAGTGTTAATCTTGTGCTAATGAGGTATGGCAACTTGGACCGATGCACATATGTGCTGGTCCTGCGTTGTAGCTGACTAAGTGACAGCAGGCCAAATACTAGATTTGTATGCTTTCGAAATATGACAATTTCAGGATGTTCCTTCATCAGGACTCGTCCTCTATCTGTTCAGTAGTCCTAGTGCATCCTACTAATAATCCCCTAATCAGGGGAATTATATAGCTCGTTACATCTCTAAGGTATTCAAACACCTAACTTTGAAAAATATCAAGATACTAACTCACGTTGCTCATATGTCAGTATACCGATCAAATACATTCCTGACTATCATGTGAGGAAATACATGTAAATGTTGGGAAACTGATATTAAGCAATTCTTAGGACATATTTAAGCTTAAAGGCAGTGCGAATGAAAAGGAAACGTTATCAGCCACTTAAAAAAGGACTGTGCGCGTGCTACGTTTGCTAGATAAGCAGAAATATGAACCTAGAAATCTATATTATAGTTAGAGTTTCCGTTTAGAATCAGTTACAAGTCTCTTTCTCGTCTGTGTTCTTCGAATTGTTTAGCTCTTACAAAATTAAGTGGCTTTTTGGTTGTCTACGTAAAATATTAACATTTTTTTTCTCGATAACTGACTAAATGTATTAAAATCAAACGCTACATATGCAAAACATAATTTAGCGAGAAATAATACAATTCGCTTGTCAATCATACATTATTGTCTATTTCGACAAGTTCGTGGTCAGAGGCAATTCAACAGACGATTCAGTCTCAATCACATTGTTATTATCAGATTTTAGAATATTGCAAATATTCATCTGTGTGACAGTCCCCCGCCCTTCCAGACATCTGGTGTTATAATTCATATCAAAATTTAGTCTTTCGGGACGTCGAACATAGTGACTTAAGCGGAAATCATAGGGTTAATGGTTTGACTAGGAAATGTGGACGTTCGGTTATCTTCATTCAGAAACTTGAGATTGATACCAACACGTCTTTTCGATATCTTTAAACAATTGCACCGTATACTGAAAACCTGAGACTACTCGTTAAACCTTTTCCGGTTGGTGTTATGGTTATACTTTCGGCTTGATAGCATCAATATAATTTATATCACTCATTTAAACTCAACTTTCTGTGGTGTGCACGACTTTCGAACTATGGGTTGGTTCAGATATTTCCATCTTGTGTTTCTGTCAGTCTTCAGTAATAAGGATAGGAGGTCTATCGACCTATATGAATTCTTGCAGTTTGTAATACTGTGTTAACAGAGGGTGCTGATATCACGTGTTCCGGTAATTCACTACTCGGTGCGAGAGACGGAACTCCGGACGTAAACGATTTTATCTCGGTTTTTGAACTTTCTTCGAATGTCCTCTCAAATGATCGGTCCTAGACGAAAGCAAGAGATAAGACACGTTAATACCAAGGTCATCGTTCAGTATACGATAAGCCAATATTAGATCATCCCGTAATCTACGGTAAGATAACGGAGATAAGTTAAGGTGTCTCAGTCTGTCTTCATAAGATAGGCCAGATAGACCCCGTACCGTCTTAGTGCCTCGTCCTTGAACTATTTCCAGCACATCTGCTTCATACTTGGAACAAGGACACGCTGCTGGAAAGACTTACGAATTGACCATAATACCCTATAGCCTTTTGCAGCAGCAGCTTTACAGTGACTAGTGGTTTTGAAATCATTGCTTAATACGACTCCTAAATCTTTCTTTGGGTAGCACGAATCCACGTAGTGTATAGTGATACGACTCAGAGTTATTTTACCACATCACTACACTCTTATTAGGATTTACTTCCAGTGACCACCTGTCTAACCATGCCACCAATGAGTTAAGATCATCCTGTAATACCACTCTATCCAATATACTATGTATAGGTCTCCAGATCTTTATGTCATCAGCGCAGAGTAGGACGGATGGTTTTGCTACAGTTGGCAATTCATTTACATAAAGTAAAAAGAGAAGAGGGCCTAGGACTGTACCCCACTTTTTACAGGTACCCACGAGAAGAGAGCCCCATTAACCCTACCATGCATCAGTCCTAACTTCAAGTTTCGTATTGAAGTCAAAACTAGACTTCTGGCGAAGTATCAGTTGATAACTGCGAAATCAAGCCACTCATCTTCATGATCGATGTTACCTCTAATCTGTTCGGACAGCGACAGGATTCCGTGGGGCAGGTAATTACAATTGACCACCATGTAGTGATATGTAGCGTTTGTTCAGTCCTTTATTAATAGTCTAGACGAGTCACTTAAGTTAATGTCCACGTTGTAACTTGATCGACTTGACAGACAAGGTTGCTCACTATTAAGTGACGAGTCAATTGTAGATAGGCTCAATTCTTAAAGCTAAGCAACCCAGTTCAGGACTGCTCGCAGAAAGTAATTTTGACTGAAATATTCTGGTAGTAGATCAATTAACAGTGGGAGAAATAATACCGTCCATGTTCGTTCACTGTTATTTAAGCCACGTTATTCATCATTAATCATATTAACTTGATGTACGGAATAGAAAAAATTGAGACCAAGGTACCCTAAAATGTGCGTAGACTTTCATATATCCTTTTACAATTAAAATTGGTACTTAGTTTCCACTGAATGCGTGCTATATTTAAGAGGATAGAATATGTACCGCAACTAAAAAATCGCTACTACCTACCGTGACATTTGCAAAAATCAATTTATTTATTATAATTAGTTACAGTAGTGACTAAACTTATAGTTGAGAGTCGACCAAATTTAATTTGTAGTCATAACAGTTGGAGGGTTACGTTTTCAGGCAGCTGGTATATTTAACGAAGCTTGAGGGCAATCAAGTTGAACATCCCATCACAAGATTACTTAAACCTACCAACTTATAATTCACACATAAATATCGAACTTCTGTCTGAATAACAACAGACTCATTAGCACTGCTATATTCCAGTTAACTAACTATTTTTAAGAGATGAATAACAAATTTCTAAATTGATTGTCTTTACATCTTTGAGTTAAAATGTTTCGATAATCATAAATACCCTTAGGATAATATGTGGCTTTTAACAAACACTGCTACTTGATTATTTGTGTTAGACCACTTCACATTAAGATGTCCCGATTTTCGTTATCACATGAATGATATTTTTAAACTTAGTAACTTGTTAACAGCTAAATGAATAGCATGAATTAATTATTTGCCGTTACATGAATTTATATTATTTTTCAACGTTTAGATTACTGTGAGAACTTTCATTTAGGAAATTATAGCGGTCTTATTAGAGATAGTCATCTACATTTGAGGTTTACATAAATGTTTAGATTGAGATCTAAACTGGAGCACTAGGATTATTTCCAACTTTCGTTAGGAAACTATTCAATTAACCCATTGTATATTCAGATATATGTAGTAAGAATGAAAGGCCTATGGCATTCCTTTCCTAGTCTGCTTCTGTGAATGTCTAGTATTTTCTTGAATGAGTCAACTGAATGCGCGGACACCACTGCTTCGGATAACAGGTTCCCAGAATTGATGACTCGATGTGAAAAAATGTATGACACGGGTACTATGTTCGTGTGAGGACGGACCACGAGTAAATTCGAGGAAGCGGTAAGAGGCTCAGAAGGAGCCGAAACTATTCCATCCAATCACCTTTGTGAAGAATATTCTAGAATTCCTACGTATAGCTCCCCGATTGGACAATGATAATAACCTTCTGTATGCGGATTGGAGGACTGTAATGATGATATCATTCCTACTAAAAACTATAAGTACCTGACAAATTTGTACCATAATTGACACTGTCCGGAGTAACATTCCTTTCGCTAGTCTTCTGTTTTCTCATTGCGACTTGGGTTGTGGCGTACTAATGCTCAAGTTATACGCGGTATATCAAGAAAAATCTTCTAGATATAACAACTGGCGGCGGGGTTATCGTGCCAAGATATCATTCATCCTTGAACAATTTGAAGCCTTGCTCGGACG